AGACAATAAGCTTGTAAACTATATAGAATAGTAGGCATGTAGGATTGGACAATAAGCTTGTAAACTATATGGAATAGTAGGCTTTTACAATTGGATACAAAGCTTGTATGTTATATAGAATAGTAGGCATGTAGGATTGGACAATAAGCTTGTAAACTATATAGAATAGTAGGCATGTAGGATTAGACAATAAGCTTGTAAACTATATAGAATAGTAGGCATGTAGGATTAGACAATAAGCTTGTAAACTATATAGAATAGTAGGCATGTAGGATTGGACAATAAGCTTGTAAACTATATAGAATAGTAGGCATGTAGGATTGGACAATAAGCTTGTAAACTATATAGAATAGTAGGCATGTAGGATTGGACAATAAGCTTGTAAACTATATAGAATAGTAGGCATGTAGGATTGGACAATAAGCTTGTAAACTATATAGAATAGTAGGCATGTAGGATTGGACAATAAGCTTGTAAACTATATAGAATAGTAGGCATGTAGGATTGGACAATAAGCTTGTAAACTATATAGAATAGTAGACATGTAGGATTTGACAATAAGCTTGTAAACTATATGGAATAGTAGGCTTTTACAATCTGATACAAAGCTTGTATGTTATATAGAATAGTAGGCATGTAGGATTAGACAATAAGCTTGTAAACTATGTAGAATAGTAGGCTTTTACAATTGGATACAAAGCTTGTATGTTATATAGAATAGTAGACATGTAGGATTGGACAATAAGCTTGTATGCTTTATTAGGTTGAAATGTAAAGCATATGTGTTATAGCTTGGGGAAGAAGACGCATGTTTAAAGTTGTTTTAGTGTTTTTTCACTTGTGGTTGTTGTTATAACACCATTATTCTTAGATGACTTGGTGTATAGACTAACCTGTGTGCTGAGAACTATCATGGAGTGCCCTTGCTAACTGTTCATCTTCACTAAGTCCACCAGTGTAAACAACTTCATCATACTGATTTGCATTACGTACATGCACTGGTTGTCTTTGTGTACCCGTTGTTCCACCACCAAAGAATCTTTGTGACCAGGTATTTCTGTTTCCCTGTGTTCGCCCTCTGTGTCTTATCTCATTGTCTGTTGATTAATAGAGTGATGGTTAAACAATTAACCCATTAGACTATTGAACAATGAATCATGTATATTGTGAGCTTTTTATTTGAAAACATGTCTAATGAAATTAATAGTTGTTGACAGTACCACCTGATAACATTTTTGTATAGCTTATTTAGTCATTTTAAAGTCAGTTAATTATTGTTCTATTTTGCATATATATTTTTACATAACATTCAGTGTTATAATAATGACACAGGAAGAACAAATATGATTGGATGAATACTCAATGTAAAAGACTAAATTAAAGCAAAAAAAGTAGGGCCTTACAAACAAAATGTTTCTGATCTAGTCAAAATAATTTTCAAAAATTGGGCTTTTTTTTTTTGGCTAAAATATTATATGGGCCACAAACTTTGCAGGTTTCATCACTTTGTTAATAGAGGGTGCTATGTTGTGGCTCTTTTTTGTGATAGTGTGCATGCTGATTGTCTAATCATGAGATTGAGAAGGATTGCCTGTAAAACACAGCACAGGGTGAGTTGAACAAATAAAGAGCGATCATTTGATTGCATTTTGCTGTAACTTTTTACCTTTTTACGCTGTACAACGAAGGACGGTGTTACACAATTGTACAAGAGGTGGTCATCCTACGGGTTGCCACAGAGTAAACTACAATTGTACAAGAGGTGGTCATCCTACGGGTTGCCACAGAGTGAACTACAATTGTACAAGAGGTGGTCATACTACGAGTTGCCACAGAGTAAACTACAATTGTACAAGAGGTGGTCATCCTACGGGTCGCCACAGAGTAAACTACAATTGTACAAGAGGTGGTCATACTACGGGTTGCCACAGAGTAAACTACAATTGTACAAGAGCTGGTCATACTACGGGTTGCCACAGAGTAAACTACAATTGTACAAGAGGAGGTCATACTACGGGTTGCCACAGAGTAAACTACAATTGTACAAGAGGTGGTCATACTACGGGTTGCTACAGAGTAAACTACAATTGTACAAGAGGTGGTCATACTACGGGTTGCCACAGAGTAAACTACAATTGTACAAGAGGTGGTCATCCTACGGGTCGCCACAGAGTAAACTACAATTGTACAAGAGGTGGTCATCCTACGGGTCGCCACAGAGTAAACTACAATTGTACAAGAGGTGGTCATCCTACGGGTCGCCACAGAGTAAACTACAATTGTACAAGAGGTGGTCATACTACGGGTTGCCACAGAGTGAACTACAATTGTACAAGAAGTGGTCATACTACGGGTTGCCACAGAGTAAACTACAATTGTACAAGAGGTGGTCATCGTACGAGTTGTCACAGAGTAAACTACCATCAACATTTTTATCAATTTTAATGTTCATAAATTTAACTTCATTTAAAAAGTTTATTTATACCACAGTCCTTCTAGAGGGACTGTGTTTATACAAAAATTGCTATATTGTAACCCCCTTCCCACCTTAGGCACACTTTAATAGCACTGTAACGTTTGCAGGTTTACAGAGTACATTTGTCCAAAAATTAATACAGGTTTTGAGAGTCTTTTTTCTGGATAGCTTTGTGTATTTATGGAGATTTAGCATTATATAATATGCAGTTATTTTAGTGTAATTCCATAGAATGTGTAAACGTATCTGCACTTAAATATGGTGCAAGAAGGTTTTATTTCTTTCATGTATGTTACTTTCATAATGTGGTAGCTTGAATATGAATAAATCTGTGTGTGTGGCAGCCTCACCACAACCTCACCACACAAGTAATATTCATGTGTAGTGTAAGTTGGGTTGTAGAGCAATTATCCATCTTTAACTAGCAATTTATATTCATAATGTTTATCAAAAAAATGTTTAAATATTTACCCGGCTGCAAGAATAAATCCATATTACGTTTGAGTGGGCCTTTAACATATGCCAAGCCAACCAATATCCCAGCTAAGTGTCCAGTGAATGAGACATTTGGTACTAAAACTTGAATCAATACCAATTCTACCCAGCAGGCAATTCTTGAGTGTACAGGTATCAATCCCATAATCCACTGCGTCCCAGGAGCCATTGAGTAGGTGGTAACCATTTTAATGGAAAATATCACAGCTGAAAAAAATATGACATATTGAATTATGTTCTCAATACAATGACATGTCTAAATGTTTTCTATAAAATGAAGTGTAGACAACTCCATCAATGGCCCGAAAACTAGAGAGAATATTTATTCGAGTTCATGTTGTTCAGAAGCAATTAAGTATTTTGCATACACAAGATAAATCTCATGATTTGTGTAACAACACAGTGTAAGGTTACAATACTTGGAACAGTATCAACAGTTCAGACAATTTCATTGATCAACTTAAATTGAATTTTGTTCAAACAATGCATGTTAATGTCAATGTGTATGACAAGATGAGAAATGGTGGATGGTTGATTCGTCCCAAGTCATTTCATCTAACAGGTTGATTTGTTCCCAGTCAATTCATCCCACAAGTTTATTTCTCCTGAAGTTGATTTGTCCGATTTATTAGGTTAGCTCGATACAACAAAATTTGAACAACAAACTCCATCTAATCGTGTAATGCACTCATTGTGAATACGACAGTAACCGAAGACTGAACCCCAGTCTTTTATTGTATTATTTGCAATTCACCAATCCATCAATCATCAAATCAAGTTATTCATATTTCAAGATTATAGTATAAATAATTAATATGCCAACAAATGGTAAACATGGTAAAAGTTGTTTAAATACAGTATAAATTGTTGTAAGAATATGTTGTGCTTTTCAAATGTAATTTTATGCATCAAGCTTGAATAGTCTTGGTACCAATATATATTTAGGAAGTCACACACACAGACTTTATTCTTTCATATGTACGTAAAAATCGACAACTTGTACAATGGCAACGGTACAAAAGTGTACTGGGACAAATGTGAACAAATTGACTGTGGATCCTATGGATGTACTATGGAACAACCTGTTACATTAACTAAACTATAAATCAATATCAGCTTCTGGCAAATTGTGTACGCTGTTGATTTCGATTCAAAGTGCATTTGGGGAATGATTTTCAATTCAAAAACATATCCAAGATTTTTATGAGAACTCTGTACGGAGTTGTCATCCCATGTCAACTGACACATGAAATATGGCAATGCACTGATACTTTGTGCAATTTACTTAACTCTGACCCAAATTACGGGTACACCCACATTGCCTTGTGGTCTTTCTAATACCTAATGTTGACTTGAATGTAGTATACCATTGTAAACTACAGCTTACCAGAGAAACCAACAGCACATGAATATAGATATGACGCATCACCAAATACTTCAGAAGCTAATATATCCAGGCAAACTAGAAGAGAACTTGTCAATACAGAAAATACGGCTATCATATAAGCAAAGTATTTGCTTCCAAGCTTTCTTTCCAGGGACATTCCTTTCCAAAGAAATGAAGCCATATTAAAGTAAAGGTGCATGTCACTTGTGTGAAACCATGAAGCTAGAAGTAAGCGTGACCATTCATGCTGATGCCACACTTTCACTGCGCTCACACACACAGTTTGTATACTGGGTACTTGTAAAATACGTAAATATATAACAGTGTTTGCAACCAACGAAGCGAGTGTTACAGGAGGTATATTGTCCAAGCCCACACGCATAACCTGGATCGCCAGCAGTAATATTCCAAGACCTTCCGCTCGCCGCCGGCCGTACATAGCACCTCGCCTTCTACCAATCATATTAGAAAATATGTAAGCCAACTAAATACACTCGATGACTACCAGTTAATTTCAGTATATCTCAGATGGACTGTTCGTCAACAGACTTAAGCACTTGCCACTTCCGGGTTCGCGTAGTTGTATAATAACCTCGTCCGGTAGCTGTACTGTGTCGTTGGATGGCGACGAGTTTATATTGTATCGTCTGCATTAACACGTCATCATATCGTTATTATCGTCACTGTATTGGTGATTAGTAGGTGTGTTGGTATATATTTAAAAACAACTGACGAAATACCTCGATGACTGTCATCATAACATTGAGATGACGTAGCTTAAAGGACAGACAGACAGCGTGGCCGACTGCGCCTGCGTCGCATCAAAAACACACTAGAAAATACATATGTATTTTTCTAGCGCCTTTGGTCGCAGTAAAGGATTGAACAATTTGGTTTCAGCAAGGTCAAAGACAATGTTAACGTTTGGGTTAAGCATAGGACCACCACTAAACTGCGAATTACGATTTAAATTAAATTACGTTCCTATATAGGAATGCAAGTGCCGGATTTAAAATGCAGATGTTCTTTATATCTTCTAACGAAACATGTTTTGTTTTTTGCGAGAGTGTGTTATTCAGTAAATATTTACTGTAATGCTAACAGAACAAATATTGTAAACACTACGATAAAGATTTTACGTTTTCCATATTGTAAAATTCTTTCGTTTTTGAAAGAAAACCTCTGAAAAACCTGATTTTGACAAGATAGTTCAAAAATTTAGATTAAGAAAAACGAAATAACGAAATGAATTTCCTATGCACGCATAAATCATTTTCATAATTACCGATTACACAAAATATTACAGAAAAAAAGATAATTTGCTATGTATCTATATGTTTGCCATTTACAAATGTCTTGAATTTTGACTGAAAAAAGCTGAATGAAATTACAAACTATGTAGTGTGTTCAACAACTCATGTACGAACGATAACTTTAATAAATATGATTTTACTTGGTAGAAATACTGCAATTTTCTGCATAAAAACGAAAGAATTTCACAATGTCGAAAACGGAAAGTCTATCGCAGTGTTAAAACTAACATTCCGATTTAAGTTTGGCTAGGACTTATTCGTTTATTCAGCGGAGCCCATACATACTGAATAAATATGAAATTACTTTATTGTATACTTATTAAATGTATTCACTACAGAAATGTATTTCCGCTCTTTCACATTCTATCGATCAGTAGTAATTAATGTAAGTTTATGTTACGTGCCGT